AATTCAAATCACAAATAATACTACTGATGAAAAAGAATGGGTTGAATGTTAACTACTTTCGTTTCCATATAACTATAATCTATGATAAAAGTTCATCAGCATGCATTGATTAACAACATGTTGTAGGGCAAAAAAAAAAACCGTGCTTGTGCAACCAACTGAGAAAATTAATAGCAAAAGAGCGAGCAGTGGGAATAATGAGTCTGGAGCCCTGAATTGCCCAGCTCCCTCTGTCAATGATCTAGCACCCCTGCAGCACCTGCGTTCAAAATTCTCTGGCGCCGCCCCTGGTACATGATGCATTTTTGAAAAGCAAAAATTAAGTTTGTTCAACTCTAAACCCAGTCCCCAAGTAAATTAGGTTATTAAATAAAAAAAACTAGCAAAACGAGTTGCGCGGTGTCCCCACCACTTTTCAAAGCAAAGTTACGCCACTGATTTCACAGGCCTCCAACATGAAGCGATTAAACACCAGGAAGCTTACAAACGCTGTTCCCATCTGTCTCCTCTGCATGGATGGAAAACAACACAGACTTAAATTCAAGAGACAGTCACCATCAACGGAAAAAAACATCACGTTGAATGGTGAAAGCGCAGGGAGTCGCTATCTAATGATCCAGTGTGTTAGTGTGCAAGATCCAGGTGTAAAGGGGGGAAAAAGTTCACCACAACTGAAAGCATTTTACTAGAGAAAGCCCACAGATTAGGCTGCGTTCCCATCCAAAGCCACACACATCCCAATGACCTAGATATAAAAAACAGATATTGGGCCCGGCTTCTCTATCCGCATTGCCACTGGCATGGAGAGGAGCTAAAGTGGGGGAGCGTGACTAGAAAACACAGGCTCATATTTCTCTAATTTCAGCAGCCTGGTCACTGGCTCTGACCTGGAGCTGTTGATCAGCCTGAGACGCCATTAAACCACAATGACTGGCAACAGTCACTTAGCGCCTGCTTTCAGGAAGTTTCCACCACACCACACCTCAGCATGAGAATTTAATGATCGAATTTTGACTAATCACTGTCTTGCACGTGTGTTCATGGGAACCAGTCTGACAGTCACCAGGTAGTCAGTGATGGCAACGTTGGCAGGGATCACAGTCACCTTTAAGCATGAGTCAACTGGAGCCTGGTGGGGTCGCCACAAAGAAGCCGCAGGCTTGCACAAATGATCCATGATTCATATATACGCAGTGGGAGGGTGCATGGGAGTGCACATGCTTTCCAAGCTGTCGGCGAAGGCCAATTACAGGCCTCTCGAGGTTGAAACAGGAGGTTTTAAGCATTAGAAAATGTATGTAATTTGTTTCACTCATGTTTGTCATTTGTAGAACAGCAGAGCAACAACAAAGCTACAACAGAACCTGTTAATCTGTGGTGTTATGGAAGGTATGTTGTACAAATTTGAAGAGGTCTTCATGAATAGCTTTCTACCTGTCTGCCTCAGAGTACAAACAATCAAAAAGCAAATTGTGTCAAAGTTACATTGTAAAATAAAAAGTCACAATTGTGAGAGATAAATGCAAATGTGGGATATAAAGTGAAAAGTTGCAGTTAGGATATTAGGAAGTTACAGCAGTTACAAGGAATAAAGTAATTTTTGAAATATAAAGTAACGCTTGTGAGATATACAGTGACAATCATGAGATATAAAGCCAGAATTGAAAAAAAGTTACAATTGAGATATAGTCACAGTTTTGAGATATAAAGCCTTAACTGAGAAATAGTCACAACTGTGAGTCACAAAAATAATAATAAAGTCACAAATTCTGAGAAATAGAGTTGCAATTGTGAGAAACAGTTGCAATTATACAATACAATGTCACAACAACTGTGAAATATTAAGTCACAATTCTGAGAAATATTGATTAACATTATTGACATACATTTTTAACAGCAACTAAATTAGGCTGCTTTAGAGGAATACCTCACCCAAAAATTAAAGGTCTGATGTTGTTCTAAACCTGTATGAGTTTCCGTCTGCTGTTGAATGTAAAAGTATATATTTGGAACAATACTGGCAACCCAACAGTTGCTGGGCCCCCATTACTTCCATAGTATGAATAA